AATGATGAAAAACAGGAAAATTCATCAAAACATGAACAAAGATTTTCCCACCCTTCAAAAACTCTGAATTATAAATTTTGAACATCAAGCAGGCTGGAGGGGATCATCTCTTTGACCAGTACTGGATGGCCATAGGATTATCATGGAAAAAATTATGTCTTGTTCTAAGATTGCAGCAGCTTTCCTCCTAAATTAGCTCCTAAAGGATTGATGGCAAGCAGTTACATCAATACTACTATATAATAAACATAGTGAGGGCATGACAAAAAATAAAAGTGGGTGGAAATTGTCCTTCATCCCACAAAAGACAGAGGCAAATTAGTAATTTGATTAAAAGTAGTCCATCACATCTCCACTCCCTCTCCCCTCCCTCCCCCTCTTCCTCTCCCTCTCTCTAACACATATATAAAAATTGCAATAAATAACATGTTATAAGAAATGAATTTACTAAATACATCACATCTTAAAAATGAAAAAATTGTATAAATTGAATTTAATTATACTTCATCATTATTATTGTTATAAATTTGAAACGAAGTATGCAAATGTGTAAACTTAGAAATTTTCATGCTCCAATAATTCCATTCTTTAGTCTCAAAGTTATAAGAATATTACGGTAATTTTGGATAAATTTAAACTTTAAGCTACCGAATTTAACAAAAACTTTAGGTCATTATTTATATAGAAAATAGAAAATTATGTTTTAATGTACTATTGCACGTGCCTTTGCATGTGCAATAAATGCTAGTAGAGAGGAAAATATTTTGTAGGCTAATAAATCATATGGTATCATGCACCTGAAAAATAAACTATCAGGAGTATCACAATGCCGACAATAGTATGTGTAACTTTCTGATGCTTAACAAAAGAAATAACTTACATACGTGACAGTGTATTCCTTCCAACCAGCAGAAGTTCAATCAGTTGGAAACTATTTTTAGCATGCACTTGAATGCAAGCATCAAAGTCCAGAACACTCACCCGAAGAGCCAACTAAATTAACTGATATATTAATCAACAACTACCTCACCTCAATCAGCTCTGCAACTCCCCATGGAAGAGAGGATAGGATACAAGTGACATAGAAGTCAGCACGTGACTGCCAAGAAGGATTCCCGTTATCATCATCTATTGTAGTGGCAGCAGAAGATAACAGAATTTCGAAGATCCCAACTAAAGAATCTGGTTGGACAACATTGCTGCACATCTAGCATAAAGAAAGAATTGATCAATGCGCTCTAATATTCAAAAGAGCCCCCTACGACTAACAACGTTGAGCGTCCACAAAAAAAAATCATCTTAAACCAAATAAACTTAATATGCAACACAGAAGATTTGCTAATATTATTAAAATAATAGCTTAACACTTAACAACATTGCCCCATAAAATTAATAAAGTGAATGTCTCTTAAAAGAACAAAATAGACTGGTGGATTGCCAAATAACTTCACAAGAATAAATTTCAAATAAGGATGGTTATATATAGAAACCATGAGTGGAAAACAAGTGCCTGAACATGTTCGGTCTTTTAACCCACCATTGGACTCTAATTGATGTGAGTATAGATCACCATGAGGTACGATGCATTAACTTCATCTACTGCCAAGCTGATAGATCACACAACCCATTAGCACTGTGTTCTTAGAATCATTGACAAGTTCAGTCCAACAAGGACTGTTCCAAAATACTACATCGTAAAGCATCACACTCTTAGTAGTATTTTATCCGAGAACAGTATAAATAGGTTTAATACCTCATCTAGCATATATTTCAGAAAATCATGTGTGCCCATGGGTGATCCTGTACATCATGTTGCCTTTAAAATCGTCTTATATATATGACAATAGAGCTGATTTGGGATAAAAGAGACCCAGCCCCCCCTTTACACCAAGATACAGGTATATTAGCTTAAAGTATGCATGTCTCTATTTCATGCATTCTCAGAAAAACAGAATCTTCAGTATTGGACAAGCTGGATACAGATTATTTTTAAAAGAATCTGATAAACATGTGTTGAAGCTGTTAAAATTTTAATCGTAGAGTTTAAATAATGTCCAAGTCATATGTGGCTTAAAAATAAACATAAAGAGTTGTTGATCCTTAGACTAATGGATTTAAGGTCAATTTCGATGACCCAAAGATATAATCTTAGCTTCTCAGATATGTAGAACATATTAATGGACTCTCATTTGAGAAATTTATTTTATTTGAAGATACATTGTATGATTGTATTTGTATCACATGACCTATATATTTTCAGTATCTTATCTGTGTCCGTGATAACCATTTTGTATGCATACATTGGTCTGTAGACTGTATCCATATTCAATTTTGGCGAATATGGACTATGAGTTTTCCTTGCCAAAACCTATCTGTATTTGAATCCGCGTTCGTAATTAGTTAATGAATATGGATATGGTATGTGTTATACTATATCTGATCTGTTTGCACTCTTTCTTGTGGGCTTGTATTAGCTTGGATATTAGACTGGCCATTCATATCTTTATTTGATTTAGCATTAGACATATGTTAATCAATTAAGATTTTGTTTTGTTTTCTTTCATGTTTGGAGAAAACATACCGTAAACACTCTTAATGAATAATTGTTTTGTGTGTTATGCATAAGACAGTTCACTGTTGTCTTTGTTCTTCTTCCAAAGCTGTCATGTCAAAAGGTACGTGTCATATCGTATCTCTGACCTGTTAATGTTTGTGTTTCATAGTTTAATAAATGGAAATAATTTACAATTTTTTCATTTATAAGAGTACAAAATCAGGAATCATCTAATTGAATAAAACTTTAAACTAGCTATAAGAAAAGAATATATATTATATCATGTTTCCAAATGTATCCAAAAATTGATATGTTAAGGCAAGGCATGTCTTGAAGTTGGTTTCTTGGTTCACGTGTGCTTGAAAGTTGTAGCAAGGTTATCAACTTTTTTCCTTCTAGGAAAAATGTTCTTATTCAAGAAGAAATTAGAAAGGGAGCTCTTTGTTCCATTAGCTTCCCTTGCACGACTGGTAGTGCAGGCTTTTAAATCCAACCTTCCAAGATTTATGATAATATCACTCATCTGGTCAAAGTCTCCGTGCTCACTAGTTCAGGATTTTATTGCACCTATAAGATTGCCCCTACGATGGCAGAAAGACATCAAATTTATCAAATTTCATGAAGTACTATGCTCCATTCCGGCTACATTTCCGTGGAATGGCCTAAATGATGATGGTGAGCATATGCTCCATTCCGGCTACATTTCCGTGGAATGGCCTAAATGATGATGGTGAGCATGTGTTCTGGTCATGTTGATGGTCAGAAAAATCTCCATTACCACCAGGTTTTCTTTATCCCTTAGCAAGTTAGCATGTTCTCTTATTTAAAATGACTCACAAAATAATTAGCTTTAAACATTATAACCATGTTTCTTTTAGATGAAACTAGGGAGATGATACTGAAAAAGAAAAAACCACACAAATAAAATATAAAAAGGCACCTTAATTACTATATATCAAGACAGGCTTCATAGTTTCTTTATTGGGATAAATATGTATACACTAGCAAACCACGGCACATATGAGCATACAAATAAACCAGTGTTGAAAAACACCGTTATATAACCAGTTCTAACCCGTTTTGCAACTTAACGGTGCTCTCTTGTTATGTAACACACACATTTAACGCTAAAACTATTCAACCCAGAAAAACACATTATATTGCGTTAAATGTGCATTATATAAACAGTTAACATGAGTTTTTTAGGTTAAATTACATCTTTGATTAGGACAAGAGAATGCATCTCCACCATCCAAATAGTTTAAACTCTACTCCTTTTAGTCCCGATCACCCTATTCTCTTCCTACGAATATGCGATCTCTTCGCCTCCTCCAACCCAACCCTTCCTTGCTTCCTCTGAAACTCCTGCTATCAGCAGCTTCTGCGGCTCCGATAAAGTGAACTTTTCATTTTTCAATGGTGTATTACACATCTCAGTTTATATCCTTTAAATAAATAGTGATTCTGAAATTATCTTCCAAATTTCAATCTTTTATATTACCTATTTACCCTAAATCATATAAAACTTGTTGCTCCATTACTTTACCTTTTAATTTCATTTTTCAGGATCTGTCATAGAATTAGAGTACAGAGATTAATTAATGGGTTAATTGTGTTGGTAAGATTAATTTCAGTTATTACTTGATTTTGATTAGGTTTTAGTTTTCAACTAATACCAGATATTTTGTGAAATTAAGTTTGCACACAATCTCTGTATATGCAAACTTTCTTATTGTTGTTACATAAACATATTTAGTTTGGTTGATGTAGTGAACTTAATTAGGAATTAGAATATTTTTGTAAAGTTAACAACTCGAGAGTTGAAAGTGTTTGGTTTATTTTAGACTTATTTTGATTGCCTTAAACCTGATGACGTTAACGTATTTGATCATTTAATAATATTTTTTGGAATGGTTGTTAGTCATATATGATTAGCTTTTGTTTTGTTAAGAAATCGTGATACTATATTTTTATATTTGATAATTGCGATGTTATGTTTGAAAATTTTGATGATTCTAAGTATTAAGTTATTACGAATTTTTAGTATTTATAAAATATCTAAATAATTAATAAACAATATAACATACGTTATGCGTTACGTTTTTCTACTTTTTTTCCTAACCTTTAATAGGAGGTCAAGCATAACCCGTTTTCGTTATTTTCAACATTGATATAAATAAGGGGAGGAGCATCAGTGCAAATAATAGGTAGCCCACCAGCAGCGTATAAGTTAAACAAATCATTTAATGACAGTTGCACCAGAATCATGAAGTTTGTACGATAGAAAAAATACTAATCTAGGACACCCCTCTTCACCAAAGACCTCAGAGCAACATAGTTTCATATCACATTAAGATTAATTTAGAAACATAATTCATATCACATTAAAATTAATTTAGAAACATAATGTGCTTTAACCGTGAGATGCATAACAGCTCCGTTGGTTATAAACTTATAAATCATGCAATAACTGTTAAATAACCAAATAGGAAAAAACACCAATGACTACTTCTCTTGCACAAACTTACCAGCACTGTTAGAAACCGCAACAGTATGCGAATCCTATTACAATTTCCAGAATATAATGCATCCTGAAAATGCAACAAACAGAAACATGTGATCAAAGCCCATTAATGGATTTGAAAGAAACTTATTAATTGTTTAAACAGCTATCTTTTCATGCTGCCTTTTAGACCTCCATATCCATTAATTCAATATAAAAGGGAGACCAACTGCTCTAGTTCTTGTTTTATTTACGCCTAAAGGCAAACAGCAGGTGAATCCCACCTTCTTTGATATGGTTTACATGCTGAGTGGCATGTTTACTTGAGACTTGGCCCTAGGGGTATGCATGATAGGCACCATGATATATTGGGCATGCTATTTATGACCAAACAGGAACAAGATTCAGTTTGAGATACATGTCTTAGTGAGTGGGGCCTCATAATCCTCCACCACTCAATACAAGACCAAGTGAGAATATGAACAAGAACAAGTACACCAAAATCAAGTACATGTTTGATCCATTATAACTTGCGTTTGCTAACTAGCATGAAATTGTAACTTTGGGAACCTAGTCAGAAAGGGCACCCACAGGATGGATGCTTTCTACGGATTGAGTTACTCAGGTCCACAAAAAGGACCGTCTCAGACAAACTTCTAAGAGAAAATGCTAAACGAGTAGATGACCTCTATGATTAAAGAATTATTTAGATACCTCATATACTTCACTTCCAACATTTCAGACTTTCAGTATTGAAGAAAAATGCTCAAACTAAAAGCCAGCCATAGCTGGGCTTTGGAAGTCCAAGGCACAACTCGGGATTGACTTGATTGGTAACTGATGCTCATTTAAACATTGAATAAATTTGAGCAAAGCTAAGCACAGCAACACTTGTGTTTGACCCAGTAAGGTGCTCAATGAAAGCTTGGTAATGAATTGGAAATATAATAAATATTTTGTTTCTACTTACTCCTTTGATTTCAGAAAAATCCCTTTGTTGTATCATATACTTAACAAACACTAAGAATACTTTCTAAACCCTAAGCCTAACTCATAAAATAAGAATGCTTTAAAAGCTGATCTATTGAATTATATTCATTCAAAGCTATAATGTAAAATGAAGGTTACAAACAAGATCTTGTTGAGAAAATAAACAAAATCAAGAGTAATGTTCTCTTGTAAAAGGAAGGTGGGTCAAGAGATCATTAGACTGAAAGGTGTTATTAACAAAATAAAAAAATCAAGAGTAATGTTTTACCTGGAACCTTGAGTGGGTAATATCTACAACTTGTTTAGCAAAGTTCTCATTTTCCAAATTAATTAAGCCAACCTGCACATAACAACCGCATATTTATATTAATATTAACCAAGGCAGATGCAACATAATTAAGCTAAGAATCAAGCTAAGAGCTAGAAAACATAAGGGCTATTTCTCAATAGCATCCCAGAAATAAGATTTCGTATTGAATATAACCAAAGTTAACCTAAGTTACAACGTATAGTTGCTTCTAGATCATTAGGATTATACATCATGAGATAACAACACTCAAAATAATAAGTTATTATTCCTAACTTACAAGGATTATGGGCCAACAATGTAAATCAAGCAATATTAACACAGTGATGACGCTTGGGCATTTATTAACATGAAATATGGAATGTTTTTGGAATTGTTTCATAGAATATAGTGGGAATCTCGCGTTCTACCAGGAAATGACAAGTCTAACAAGTTACACTACGTTGCAATGTGTGTTTTAGGAACTGATAATAAAGAATCTAAGTATGTGATGCAGAAGCATTAGAAGTTCAGGGGTTATTTTCAGACTGCATGCAGAATTCTAAGAGATTGTCAATCTGGAATTTTATGCTTCCTAGGATATACTCAGTTTCTATATAGTCAAAATTGCCTTTTATGTTTTCTATGCTGAGTCTTTTCAGTTTTCTATAATCCTAATGCTTGAAGGGTCATTTCATTCTACTTGTCTAATGAAAATGGCAGACATTTGATTTGAGTTAAACTCTATTTGTTTTCCATTGTTCTACAATACTTTGGTGAATTCCATTGATTGTAAATGTTCTTCGGTATCTCTAAGAAGGGGTCCTTGGAGTGATGAATGTCATATTCTCTAGAGTCTAGGGTGGTGAATTTATATATCTATAGTAGTAGGCTAACCCCAATTACCATCATTTATTCTATGGTGGTGTTTCTATATCCCTAGAGTGATCGACATCCTATCCTCATTGCCACATATTTCCCTTTCATCCATCTCGCCTAAACCATCATGGTATCAGTATGTTTCAAAAATAGCAGAAAATTTCTCCATCTAGAGCTTCAACACTAAGGTCTTTGACGGTTACTTGGAAATTTAGGCATCCAAGCAATTCATGAATTCAAAACCATAAAGATAAACATCCAATTCATGCTATTACTTGTCATCAAGACAATTTATCAATGAATTTAACTTGTGCTAGACTGCATCTATTAGGGTTCTCAACTCCTATTGGATAGTGCAATAAATAAAATTCCTTGAGAAATAATGGAGCTCTTCAAATGTTCTGAAAGTAAACCGCCAATTACGATAATTTAGTTATTAACGTTAGATTAGAAATTAAAATATGGAATAAATCAGCTAGTGATATCTTTCTAAAATTCTAGTTAGGAATCCATTTCCTTTCCCCAATGATAAGACTTAAGAGATCAATCCCTGCAACCATTAGCATCATACAATCATGGCTGAGGAAGCAATGGACGAGAAGAATTTGACAGTGGCAATGATACAAGGAAGCATATTGAAGAATCAGCCTAGTAGGGCTGTGTGGCTTATGCACGTGCAAACAAAGAGCAAGCAAAATAACTCTTCTAACAGAGATACAAGTGTAAACTAAGGCCAGACATGTATTCTAGGAATGCCACTCATATCAAAGAAGTGATAGAAGCCAAAGATCAAAACGAGAAGAAAATCCTAAATTGTAGCTAAGATGTTCAAAGTGAAATTTTAACAAAATAAGGGAATTCTAGAAAATGTGACAGAGAGTGAGCATGAAATGAGCTAAAAATAGATATAACAGTACAAAAATTTATCCTTTTTACACTCCTATCTGTTACAGAAATACATATTCTGCACGAACGAGTCCATGATAAAGTTACCTTAAATGTAGTTTACATGCTAGCATTTAGTCCCAATATAACTGACATTTGTTGGACCCTCCTTGGTACTTACTGCTTGCCCCAATAATGATAGAGTTTATAAATTCTAAGCACTAACTCAAATTTTGTTGGATGCATTTATGATTTTTGTTTGATACCTTGACGCAAAGAGTTGACTTTTAGCTTCCATATTTGATTACATTTATTACAAAATTGAATAATGCTTACATCCTATATTGCACGGGTATAGATGCGGGTGCGGACACGGACGCAGATGTGGATACAGGACATGGCAATTTTGTAAAATATAGGATACGGGGACACAGCTATATATATAATTATTGAAATTAATAATATATATGAGATTGATATTAAATTTTTATTACATATTATGAGAACTAAAGTCCATAAAACTTATTTATGTTTCTTTTATTGAGTAGATTATAAATTGAAAAACTGCTCACTTTTGGACTAAATATTCAAATCATCGTTTAAAATCATACTTATGAACATGACATGGGCTGAAATGTTCCTGATCTGAGTCCAACAAGTTGCAAAAATTCGATGTGAAGTGTAAGATATACGTCCAACAAGCGTACCACAAGTGTTTTAAACGAAAACATGTATTGTAAATTGGACACATGTCTGCATAAATATATGTATGTACTCAAGAAGTGTCCAAGGAGTGTCCGACACGGACACGGATATTAGAGCCAAGATGAAGTGTCCATGTAACCTAGCTTATATCACATGACAATATAGAACTTTTTGCATGTAAGGTATTACAAGGATTAAGCTATTCCATGAAAAGATTTAGGAGCTGAAAAAATTCAAGTTTCATCAGAGCGCCATAAATAAAATTAAATTAAGTGTAGACTATGGTATTGGTCATTGCCAAAAACAAAGTTTTAAAAGAAAATTATGGTGTTTCCCTTTCCGTGTTATATTCGAATATTTTAGGATTTATATCATCACACACACACATAAGTTTCCACTGTTATGCTCATGACTTATTTGCATTCTAGGACTTTTAAGATGCATAGTATCTTGATGCCCTGCACAGCTCATGTCCATAATCCACATCCTATATATGTGCCGGTGCTTAATTGTTACAAACATCGAGGGACGTAATGAATGCAAAACTAAATATTACNACACAAGTGACATAATCCATAGAATTAAAACTACAACAGTCATTCATCAGTGTGTATTATGAACACAAGATCAGTAAGAGAACTCCATACTTTGCTTGTAGTTGACAGAAACTAGTTATGCTACATGAACTGCAAAACATGGAAGACAAAACCAGACATGTCGTTTCATACCAATACGCCGTAGAAAGGAGCCTTGTGGGGCAGCTGCTCTGCACATTGAAGAAGAAGCTGTTCAAAATAAAGTACATAAGTCAGGTAAAATCAAGAATCTCACATCTTTAGCATAAAATGCCAACCACAGAATAAAAAAAAGTTAGTAGTAATCTCCAAGGTAGCATTACCCCACAGAAGAACACAACTATAAGTTAAAACGAACGCCTAATAATGTACCATTTCATCATATTTGTATAAGTAACTATATCTAGGTACTTCTCACCTTCCAAGAGAACAGGAAGCAATTGATAAATTAGTGCTTATACAAATCTAACTGTATAAACTAGATTCTCCTCCACTACACACTGACTTGCAAAAGAAAATTATGCATGAACTAAAAGCTAGAATAAGAAAAATATATAGAACTTGGAAGCTAACACTAACGTTGCCACATATAAAACCTCAGTAGCTCTACAGTGAATGACCAACAATTTGCAAAATTCATGTATAGTGCACACAGCTCTTTATTTGCTAAGTAGTTTGCAAGTTAATGGTGCTAGAATTAAACTGCAAGTACAGATGATAATATTTTAGTTAGATGCAAGTGAAAACAAAAGGACTTCATTTTTATAAATATAAAAAAAATCTGCGATATAGCTACACCTTGATAATGCACAAATTGCCTTAATTATAGAAGAACAAACACCTAAATCTCCCAAGCTATCAACTTGCAGCAAAAAGAAGAAACTTTAAAGTATTGTATACAATAATGTATGAAATGGAAATCAAATGAAAATTATTCCATACAGTCCGAATTTACCTCAAAGATGTCATCTTTAGAATTCTCCCACTCGCGCAACAGCACATTATAGCACGTATCCTGAGATGCAAACAAGTCACATTAGGGTTCGCGATGCAATTCAAGAAATAAGGGAAACTTTCTAGGGTTTCTGAAATTGAGAACGGGGAAGTGAGTCACGATGTGTTCTTTGAAGTCGACGGATCCGCCGTACTCGGGACACTTGTCGCCGATCCGCAACAGGAGCGATCGCCAGCTGCTGCTGCTACTCATTTAGATGTTCGAAGGGTTTTTGATCTTGAGGGAGGAAAAGAGTTTTGAAGGATGAGGTTTTAAAGAGGTTTAAGGGCTTTTTTCACTTGCTTGGTGGTGGATTGTCTTGGGCCTTTGTGAGCCTGACTTGGCCCAAGAAATATAATTTGTGTAGGATCCTTGCTTTTAACATTTTAGTCTTTTTTTTTCCTTTCTTTTTTCTCCTCGGAGAAAGGGCTATTGCCATGTTGCCAATTATACCCCTCACACACAGGCTCAAACTTTATTAACTATTTCAACTTATACCCGCTAAGCTCTCCCAATCTGTTAAATAAAATTCTAACCCAAACTCATTTTTACTCCATCCTTCTCTAATGTATTCTCTAATGTCTTTCTCAATGGGAATCTATCTGCTGTAAACTTGGGATTAGAGTTGAAAAGAGTCATTGGGGAAGATGATGAAGAAGATGTCGGAGAAGATGAAGTGAAATTGGGTTTGGATTAGGATTTTTATTAAACGGATTTAGGGACCTTAACGGGTATAGGTTAAGATGGTTAAAGGGTTTGGGGGTTTGTGTATGAGGGATATAATTGGTAAATCACAGAAAAAAAATAAAGTAAATAGAATATTCCCCCATTTCAACCAGATTTTATCTGGAGGGGCTTATGTCAATATATTGATAAGATTTTGGGGACCTAGGATCAATTTTGAAGATTTAAGGGTCTAATATTGAAATATTAAAGATTTAGGGCGGATTGAGAGCAATCTCAAAGATTTGGGGGACCAATATCGAAATAACCTAACATTTTTCCAAAATTAATAACTCGCTAGTATTTCAGCACGGGCTCATCGAAGTTCACCTCGATTTTGTCATATGTCAATCACTCATATCCGTAAATAATTAAAAAATTCTAATAACTCACTTCACCTTTCGAAGCACGGTAATCCCCTCCTGTCTGAGGTAAACAAATTTTGTCCATGCTTGGAAATCACGGTAATAGAACTAATATATTATGCTATAGTTAAAATTAAAATTATTTAACCTAAATTTGACTTATGTAATGAATATACTTGATATAAAAAAATAACTTAACGCAAGTTAAAAAATAAAGATATAAAAAGTATATTGTTCAAAAACATTAACCGCAATGGATGCAATCCAAAAAAAATTATTTTTCTATCAATCAACCTTTCTGAGGATGTCATATGTAAAATTTTAAATAAAGCTCCTCTAACTTTCAATCATTTTTTCTCCGTCTTCGTCCTCTTCCTCAAACTTGAAAGAGCTAGTTATTTCCCCATCTGCAATGCGTAACACGTGTAATAATTAAATTCAAGAGTAAAATATTAAAAATTATATAAAATTATAAAATTATAAAATTAAAAGAGTTAACGTAAAGAATATCCAACCTGATTGCATTTTTATTTTGGCAATGCTTGTAGGTGTTATTTTAAATGTAGACGTATCAAGTGTAGCAATAGGTGATATGTCTAATATCTTCTTTTTCCCTTTCTATTAATGGTCGAGGTGGCTATAAATATATCTGGATTTAATTCAATAGATTGATTATCAATGACACCATCCTGATTCATTTCATTTACATTCATCCTATGATAATAGTATATTTCACTTAGAATAACACAAACATGATTTTGTTTTTAAAATAAAGAAACTAATATTAAATTTCTCAAAAGCCTTATTTTTAAACTTCTTATCAATTGTATTTTCAGGTGCGGATAAATTAGGAGTATCTTCGATGAATTGACTATCGCGGTTATCAACCTATGACATATCGTGGGATTTCTCATCCTTTGATAAATACAAATTTATTATTAGGGCAGTCAATACATTACATATACTAGTTGAATATAAAGTATTACCTTGTCGTCAGTTTGTAGTAACAATCCTTTGAGTTTTTCATCATCCACATCATCATTAATGATTTTAATAACCGTATAACCTTCAATGTACTTACTTCTGTTAAACTCTGTAACTTTCACGTAGAAACACATATTTATATCAATTAATCTCTTAATAGCAAGTGGAATATTCATATTATCTACATCCTATTTTATCAATGTAAAATTAACATTGTTTTATCAATGTAAAATCAACATAAAATTCATTGTTTTAATTAAAAGCATGTTAACATTTTTGTAAAACCATGTAAATTTCGAAAATAGTATGATTTATATTGATAAATAAGTTCTATCATTTTTGGATGAATGATTATATTAACAATTGATTTGAGATCAATTAACAGTATATATGAGAGTATACAAGTGTCAAACATGTACAAAAGATCCAAGGCTAGAAATAGTCTCTGATCAGTCAACTGACGTTGTAATCAGTCGGCTGATGAGGTTATCAGTCGACTGATGACAGGCATCAGTCGACTGATGACAGGCATCAGTCGACTGACGGGCTATTTTCAGACTCCTTTTGGGTTTCGGATTGGGCTATTTTTTATTCAGGTTTACACCTATATATACATGTTTTTGTCACGAAAATTTCACATTTTTATCAGTTTTACAAACCCTAGTATTCCTCTCCTCCTCTCTCAAACCCTAACCCTATTTTGAGATTTTCGGGAGAATTTCGTGGGGTGAATAATGAGAAAAGGGCAAGATCTGTGATCTTGGTGAGGAGGATTATGCTCATGCATGTTTGGGAGTTCAGCACAACGTTTAAGGCAAGATCATCTTCCTCCAAACCTTCCGTTAGTTAAAAAATTAAGCTTATGATTGTTGTGATTAATCTCATGTTTATGACAAATCTAATGTGTTAGAGCCTAATATATGATGTTAAATCTTAAATCACTGTTATGAACAGTTGAACAAATCTATAATTGATGTGTTTAGATGATCATGATTATTAAAGTGGTGTTAAACTTGTTATTTTTGTTTTAAAAAGGTTTAAATACACTAATTAATCATGTTGAACACAAAATGTGTTAGTTAGAGGCTAAACCCTAGTTCTATGAATCTACATAAGTTTATCTAGTTTAAATAATCTTTTGTTCAGTATTAATGAGTTTTCAAATTAGTTTTTGTCAAGCCTATTGATAAAAACCGGAGTTTGAAGAAAAACACACAAAAACCCGAAGTTGGCTGTTTTCGGTCTGATCGGTCGACCGACAAGGAGTGTCAGTTGACCGACGGGCTCTACCAAGCTCTCGGTCTCGTGAGCGCAACCGATCAGTCGACCGAAGCTTTTTTTATCGATCGACTGATCAGGCTAAATTTGTGAGAATTGCTTCCTTTACTCATGGATTCGTTTCTTTTACAAGTGGGTTCGTTTCGCAAGCATGTAGTGCAAGTTGTGAGCTGATAATTATGCATGTTTTGGGGAGTACACGTACTAGTTGTACATCAATGCACAAGCGTTTTAAACGAGGATACACGTGGTGGTTTTGAGCATGCACAGATGTTTATAAGTACGTAACCTAAGTTTTGCTCTTGTCATAATAGATAGTGACAACTAAATAGAGTAGCCTATGTCGATCCGCACTTTGATGCGATGAGGCTAGTGAGCCGCCTATGTCGATCTGCATTTTGATGTGATGAGGCTAGTGAGCCTTTTATGTCCATCCATATGTTGATGCGATGAAGCTAGTGAGCCTATTATGTCGATCCGCATGGTGATGCGATGAGGCTAGTGAGCCATCTATGTCGATCTGTATGGTGATGTGATGAGGCTAGTGAACCGTATATGTCGATCTGCACGGCGATGCGATGAATTGTAGAATTTATAAACAATAGGAATATACTTATTTGTCGATTCCACACAGGGGTGCGATGAGTTGAAGAATTACAGAGAAGGATGATTTAATTAACTTGATGATAACCTGAGTCGCATGTGATATTTGTATCCTTTTTTATATGATTTATTGTGGAGGTATTTCACATCGTTGGTACACGAGATAGTGTATTGGTTTCTGCTTTGTCCACTAAGTGTAGTATGAAAAGTTGGATGACATTTTTGGAGATGACGGTTATATTTCTTTCCTGTATTGCTCTTCTTTATTATTTTATTCTTAGATAGAATTTATATCTAGAAATTTATGACTTGAGGCACATGGTATATACATGAGGGTTTTCTTGTTTGGATTATTTTGCTCGACGTACCAGTCTCATGCTGTAGATTTCTAAATATAAATCCCATGTAGTATCGGGTAAAATAATTTAGGTAGACTATGCACTTATAGGTAGAGCCTCCATCATTGTAGGCGTCACAAATTGCCTATAGGTTTCCGCACACAGTTCAAAATAAAGAGAAGACGAAGAACGTTGATAAGCCTACGTATTCAACATCGTAATGACCAAAATCCATGTCTTTCACGCATGGGGGACTTTATATTGATCCCTAATTAGATATAAGCTTACCCCTAACACGTGTTACCGGGTGGTACGTTTCTGTGAAAATGACAAAGCTTAGGTATTCAATATCGTATCACTAAGTCTAAGAGAGTTCATTCTTTTAGCACAACGTTATATATAGAAGGGACTTAGACAATCTACATGCTAGCCCGACTCAAATGGTAGTCAATAAAGGCTTATCAAATCCGTTGATGGCTGAGAGTTTACCAAAAATCCTATAATAAGCAGCTCACTATGACAGATTTGCTCTCAACTTGTATTGAGTTTGCGGTGGTATTCAAGGCCTTGGTAACCTCCTCCTCCATAATAGTGCTTTAATAGTCACTGACACACCAGCTTCATCAGTTGGTCTCGTGACTCGAGCACCTGGAGTAGCTTCAGAGGTAGTAGCTGTTTCAGCACCAACGACTGGTCCTACAATCAAATCTCGCACAAAGAGCTCAACCTAGCGAACCTCCGATGCACTCTTAGCTTGCTCTTCCCAAACTCCTAAAAGTATATGAGTATAAACTGCTCCTTCACACTGTAACGTCTTAAAAGCTTAAACTGTGTAGACTTCAGCTACGTATGAGTATAAACTATGTTTACGTCACAGTGGAAGTCAATGCTCGACAAATTTTGCTAAAATCAGGCTTGGGATAATTCTATTTCCCGCACACAAAGTTCAAATGCAATTCAGATATAAACTCCCGATGAAGATGATCAGTT